GCAGTGGGATTGAACCAATGCCATGGCTGGAACATAGCCTGCTCACTCTAGAGATTTCCTCCGCCCTCCACCGACCCAAACAATGCTTTGTTCCTGTCATGGCTTCAGAATTAGTTAGAGGAAAACTCCCAAGGTATCCCCAACAATTATATTGGAAGGCCACAAAGCTGTAATTAGAAGCAAGCTTATTTCCTTCAAAATAACATGGAATCAAAGCCCTAAAGAGACCTTGGCTACTCTATTTAAGGATATCTCAAAGACCAAGTGACTACAAAAGCCATCTCTGGATGGGACGTTGTATCAGCTTAATACCGGGTTTTATTTTAAATTGTGATACCAAGATCCGTTAATATAGGGAAACATTACTGATGTACCATGACCTCTCAACTGCAAACAAGAACATCCATTATTATTCTTGAAACAGTAATTTTCAGAAAATGTATTTTTGTTTATTGTCTTCTGTTATGTTTATTGAAACCTCAATAAACATTTATTGCACTAAAAGATAGTGGGGGTCTTAAAGACACACGTGAGACTGAGAAACAGAAGAACACAAGGCCCTACATGCCCAGATCAAGTTGAACTGTCCTGAATAGCGACCTGTTTCTCCTGGTTTTTTTTTTTTTTTCCTAGTGTTCCTCCATGCTTTGCCAGTCTTAGCTTCCATTCTTGGGATGCAACAGAGCTTGGTGGTACAGAGAAGCATCTAATAGAGAAAGAGAAGTGGTTTGGAGACAAAATATATCACTTGCTGCTTTCTTTATGGTGTTTTCCCCGTAATAACAGATAAACATAAGATTACATTTCCATGAAAAGTAGGTCCCAGTAGGTCTAAAACAAAGTTAGACAACCGCTAAAACTATAAATGTTGGTTATAAAGCTTCTTATGATGCTCAATAACCTATTGGGTTGTCTGACCATCATGGGAAGTACTGTACACAAAATATTAGTAATCACTACCTGTATTATTTCCCACTGTTATTGGAGAGTGCAAATCACATGGCATTCGTTCAACTGACTGTGGATAATTGGAACTGCAGTAATATAAATCCTCTATAACTGGACTCATTTTAGTCCTCTATACTATACAGTTACATGGGTGCAGCAAGTGAGACAATTCAATTCAACTTTATTTTAAGTTTTGACACAATTTATATTGCAGAAAATAATAAAGTTAATCAAGTTCAACCAACCAACATTCATCTTATTGCTGTTGGGGCAAGAAAATAAAACATGGAGTTTTTTCTTGAAAGAAGAGACATACAACGGATATGTCTTTTTTTTTTTTCACTTCAAAATGGCATTTTGATTTTGAAATATTGAACTTTTATAACTAATGTTCATATTAATTATCAAATTAACACAGCTCCGAACCCTTCTATGCTAAAATATGCAACTAGCTCTTTTATTAAAGGTTATATTGAATGTGATAGAACAGCATCTTTAGGCAACAAATTCCATCCATTTGTTTGCTTTTTTAAAGAACTGGGCTGCTGTAGATTGGGATCTCTTTCTCAATGCTGGAAGCCAGCTAACAGTATGGTCTGTTATGCGCTAACATTGGATAATAAGGACATTCTGCAGTCTTTCCTTGTAGGAATTTATAGTCTGCAGATATGTTATATATTTTTGCTGCTTTTTCAGTGTCACTGACCCTACTGTGTTAATTGCCTGGCATTGTCTAGAGATGATATGAAAAGCCACAGTAAAACATGTCTCCTCGTTTATAAGAATAATAAAGCAGTTAGACAACTGTAATCTCCTTTTTGTTTAGAAAAGCCAGCATATATTTTCAAAATATTTTCACAAGAAATACATTAAGGCTTTGTGAATAGATTTTTGTGTGTGTGTCAAGTAGCTAGAACCGGAATGTTGTCTTGGGCATACAGCGGATGGATAAGATAAACTAACACGTTATTGAGCTAGAACTCCCGCAATTGTCTAGCAACATAGAGGTTGCAGTCATGGTTCTTGTACTTGCTACATATCTATACATTGCAAGAATAAATAGCCTGCTATTCTTCATGTGGTTGAGGATCATGAGTGTTGCATTTCATCACAAGCTAGAGAGTTTCATGATGGTTCTACTGCCCTGAACAGTGTGAACATGAAGAAGTGTGGGCTATAAATTAGGTGACAATAGAGTCCCTTTAATTAGGGATGACTATAAAAGCGCCATCTTGCAGGGCAGCATCGATTTTAACAGAGCCCTACTTTATAACATCTCCCTTCAGAAAATGTCAGTATCCCGAGAAAAATGTGAAATATGACCATCCTAGCTGTAGATCATGAATGTGGATGCATGAATATGTCATCAGTATGGATGCACCCGGCTGGACAGCAAATGGAATCTGTCGGAATGATGGATAGTTTAACATCTTTGACCTGAATGTTAAAAGAAAGTGTTAGATGCAGGATTCAGGAAAGATAAAGAACAGATGAGCTTTGGGGCAACAAAGTCAGAGAATGTGCCACCTTTAGAGGATTAATGCATTTTAAAATGATTTTTGGGTCAACAGCAGAAAAGTTGATTTTAGTTTATTTCTTTTTTCAACCTAAATTGCTTTTTTATTAATCAATTAAATAAGACACATTTTTATTATTATTTTTATGGAAATCCCAGTATTATTGCTATTTATTTGTGGTGAGGGATTGTTCTATTTACTAGAACAAGAAGACTTCTGCGTCTCTCCAAACATTTGTGTGTACATGGTGGGCTGAAATTCCTAACAGGTTTTGAGGAGTCAATAGATTTTTTTTATTAATGGACCACCCTGTTGAAACCACATGTCCGGATAATTTTCCAGTACGTTATAACTTTTAAGTTATATCCAGATATCTCACAACAATAAAATTGCACTATTTTTCACACACATATATATATATATATAAAAAAACTAAATAGAAAGTCCTTGCACTCACGCTTCATATTATATGTAAGCTCATCGAGCAGGGTCCTCAACCCCCTCTGTTCCTGTATGTCAGTGGTCTGATCGCAATTATCTGTCTGTTAGTCCACCCATTGTACAGCGCGACGGAATTTGTTGGCACTATATAAATAATAAAATAATAATAATAATATCTATATATATATATATATATATATATATATATATATACATATATTTAATTATTTTTTTTGAACGACTAACAAATATGTTATATACCTGTCAAATACTACTCTGAATTTTGGCCTGCCCTGCATATGTTGGTCTGTCTAGGTTCCTTACAGGTTCCAATCCTTTTGCCGAAACAAAACTCATGTTTAGGCTTAATTAAAAGATTGGGCTTGTCCCATCCCAAATATAATAAAAATGAGGCTTAATTATTAAGCTGTGGGTAAGTATTAATGTTTCTCCTCGATATGATACTGGAAGCTAGTGGTATTCATGAAACTAATACCATTAACATATCAAAGGATTGAACTATCCATTAATAGTTTCAAGCCATAGGGTCAAGGTCAGTTAGTTTACATTGAAACTAGACCTACTGGCGGCTTAAGTGTAAAATGTCTCACCTTGCTTTGATAGATCAAAAAAGGGCAATCCGCTTCACACCTTGCAGAAGCCCCTTTTGATCAAAATAGCAATTTCTCTCTGCCATTTGTCCACTAGCTAGGGGTCCAATTATTGATGCACTGCACACGTTATATTAAATAGTCATATTCCATAGTGCAATAATAAATTATGTACCCTTGCCGTGACACAAATGACTCGATTAAGCTGCAGGTAGAGAATAATCAAATTCCACTCCAAAATCATTCATTAGTAGTGATGTCGAACGGTTCGCCACGGACGGCGAACATATGCGCTGTTCGGTCCGCCCCCTATTCGTCATCATTGAGTAAACTTTGACACTGTACCTCACAGTCAGCAGACACATTCCAGCCAATCAGCAGCAGACCCTCCCTCTCAGACCCTCCCACCAACTGGACAGCTCACTAAGAATGCAGCTTCACAATGAATGTAAAATGGATGCTGTCCAGGAGGTGGCAGGGCCTGGGAGGGAGGGTCTGCTGCTGATTGGCTGGAATGTGTCTGCTGACTGTGAGGTACAGGGTCAAAGTTTACTCAATTATGACATAGGGGGCGGACCGAACAGCGCATATGTTCGCCATCCGTGGCGAACCGTTCGGGGGAAACCGTTCGGGACATCACTATTTAGGAAGAATTCAACTGGCTGTAGCCAAAATGTATAAAACTTTCACTGTCCCTAATTGTCTCTAAACTCAAACATAAACATGTTGCAACATCCAGAAGTAAATGCAGCTGCTTATAAATCCATGCAACCATTGAGTCCTGAAGCTGATGTGTCTCTAAAAATTCATTTTGTCCTTTGTTATGACATGTTTTGTGTATTGCAATAATCTATTTAAATTAAGCATTATGACAGTATACACACAAGGTAACCATACTGTGAATGATTATGCTACAACACTCCCCATGGATTAGTACAGGGGTAGGGAAACCTTCAGCACCTTCATCACTTCAAATGTTATAGACTACATCTGTAAGAACATTATGGAAGATGTAGTCCACAACATTTTTAGCGCCTAATGTAGCCTACTCCTGTAGTAGCAAGATGGTAGCTCTAAAAAAAATTGATAAAAGGGTTTACAAGATTAGTACACCCATGGAATATCTACTAATGTATTTACTGCTAAATAGAAAACCACAGAGAAATATTGGGATACGGCTGTATAATTCTAAAACAAAGGGAAATAAACAAAAAATAGTGTAATACGGTAAAAACTATTATGCACCACATGAAATGCACTCACAAGATGTTGATGAAAACAGCGCTCATAGGGTGCCTCCCCCGAAGTCTTTGGGGGGCTATTGTTCCCACTCTTCCACTCCACTCCACGGACAGCGGATAATAGAACAGGACTCCAGATGGTTTGAAGGTAAAAAAGGATGATTTATTGTAAAAAGGTGGATAAACACCATAAGCACAAATATGAGTATAAAAGCAATGTCGGTCCTACACATTTCGTTCCTTACGGAACTTCCTCAGGGACCACATTAATATAAAAAATATATAAACACAATCACAAAGGATCATAGCATATCCTCTTTAATATGATATATGCTATGATCATTTGTGATTGTGTATATATATATTTTTTAAATTATTGTGGTCCCTGAGGAAGTTCCGGGATGGAGAAAAAAAAATATTCAGGTACAAATTATTAAGTTTGTTAGGCCTGTAATACAGACTAGGGCTTTCAAGAACTTGACCAAAACCAATAATATAATTAAGGACTATCAGGAATTTTTTTTCTCTAAGGGTCCCTTTAAATAACCGTGTTAATTCATCATGGTTGTCCCCTGACAAAGGAGCTTGGTTGGCAGTGAAACGCACATCAGGCGTTGTTCTCACTTTTTACCTTACACTTTGCACTAGCACTTTGTCACCTTTTTTCTTAATATGTAACAGGATATGGTTCTCCAGAGGAATCTTGGTATCTTGTCCTATTAGTTAGTTCAAAAATGAGTCAGGACGGTTATATAGGCTGTCGGCTTTTCTTCTCACAGCAAAGCAGTCTCCTCCTTCACTGTTGCTGCCTCTGTTTTTGCCATTCTTGTTGATTTATCCATCCACTTATATGAGAATGTATTATGTATTTACCTCTTATGAGCAAACTAGCTTTCCTGATGTATACTATAAGTGTGGTGGTCTGACCTTAACCCCAGCAGCACTTCAGTCTAGTTATTCCTCTCAATACTCGACACTGAAATAGGGGATTTACCCTCCTTTCTATTCCGTTTTGCTTGGTAACACTTACTGAGTACTGCTCTGTTTGAACTTTAACATTAGGTTACATTAGAGATTTAATCTGTTTTTGTTTGTGATTGCTTAGAGGTTTTTTATTATTATCAGTAGTAGTAGTGTTTATAAAGCGCCAATAAGTTCTGTAGCTCTGTACAATGGGTGGACTAACAGACACGTATTTGTAACCAGACAAGTTGGACGCACAGGAACAGAGGAATTGAGGGCCCTGCTCAATGAGCTTACATGCTAGAGGGAGTGGGGTTGTGTTACACAAAAGGTAATGGTAGGGTAGAAAAGTAGGTTGCTAGGGCTTAGTGTTTTGTTTTGATGGCAGTTTCAGGAGAGGAATCAGGGTACGGGGGAAGGAAAGCTGTTCACAGTTTAATTGATATGCTTCCCTAAAGAAGTAGGTTATCAAAGATTTTTTGAAAGAGTGGAGATTGGGTGAAAGTCTAACAGAGAGGGGAAGGGTGTTCCATAGGAATGGTGCAGCCCTAAAGAAGTCTTTAAGACAAGCATCAAAGGTGCCAGTACGAACAGAGGTTAGACGTAGGTCTCCGGCAGAGCGTAAGTGCCTAGATGGGACATATTTGTGTATTAATGAGGATAAGTAGGTCAGAGAAGCATTGTGTAGAGATTTTTTAAGCAAGTATCAGGATCTTAAATTGAGTCCTATATCTTACAGGAAAGCAATGTAGGGCCTAACAATGGGGGCAGGAGTTGAAGGTGTGGACGGACAGGAAGATGAGCCTCGCCGCCGCATTCATTATAGACTGTAATGGGGCAAGTTGGGAACACGTAAGACCACTGAGAAGTGGATTACAGTAATCAAGGTGAGAGAGGACAGTGGCATGAACAAGCAACTTTGCCGTATCAGAGAGTAAATAGGGTCGGATGCGCGCAATGTTTTTGAAATGGAAGCGGCAGGATTTGGTGATTAATTGGACATGAGGGGTGAAGGAGATGTCAGAGTCAAAGAGAACACCTAGGCAGTGAGCATTAGAGGTTGTCAGGATCTTACCTGTTATGGAGTCCAACGTGCAGAGTTATACACTCACCCTTGCAAATAAACCCAGACCAAGGTGACCAGACAAGAAGCCACTGGGCTGTGAGTCTGTGCAGGAATAGTGCTCCAAGTCGCAGTACAAGCAAGGATAAGCAGAAGAGAAGTCATGGAAAGCTAAAGTCAGGGGAAGCCAGAGGTCAGAGTAATCGAAAAAATAAGCCATGGTCGGAACCCGGAATCAGTCTGGAAAACACTGGATCAAGACACACAATAACAGCAGAACCAGAGTCAATGAACTGACAAAGTTCCCAGGGCGAGGCAGTGCTTATATACCCAGCTAATTAAAGATCTGCTTCAGCAGGGGTAAAGTCCAGCCCCCAGTGCTGGAGACAAGGCAAGGATAACATCAAGCTGAAACATGAGCTGAAGTGTGGCTCAGAGGTCAGCGGGACTAAGGCAGAAAGAGTCCAGAGTTCAAATCCCCTTGGAGCCACCAGAAGGGTGACCACACCTGGCCTTCCATATGACACGGTGTGAATCGTGACAGAGGTAGAGTGGATCCTAGCGCCATTGACTTGGAGGGATACAGACAAGAGAGTGGCAACACTTGAGAGAGGGAAGACCAGAAGTTCTGTTTTGAAGAGGTTCAGTTTAAGGAAATGAGCAGCCATCTAGTTTTAAATAGCAAAGAGGCAGTCAGAAACACAAGTCAAGAGGGCTGTTGAGAAATCAGGGTAGGACCGATAAATTTGCATGTCATACACATAGAAATTATATTGAAAGCCGAAGGAACTGATGAGTTTAACAAAGGGAGGCAGTGTAGATTGAGAACAATAGGGGACCAAGGACAGACCATTGGGGAACACAAGCAGAGAGGGATTGGGGAGAAGAGGCAGAGCCAGAGTAAGAAACACTGAATGAGTGCTGGGAGAAGTAGGAAGAGCACCAGGAGAGTGCGGTATCTCGTAGACCTAGATTACGGAGGATGAGAAGAAGCTGTTGATGATCAACAGTGTCAAAAGCAGCAGAAAGGTCGAGGAAAATTAGGATATAGTAGTGGCAATGGGATTTAGCAGTGATAATATCATTGTATACTTTGGTCACAGTTGTTTCCAAAGAGTGACGAGCGCGGAATCCAGATTAAAGCGGGTCAAGCAAAGAGTTGTATTCAAGGAAGTCTGTCAATCTCGCATACACAATTCTCTTAAGGATCTTGGAGACAAACGGCAGTAGCGATATGGGGCAGTAGTTGGACAGGGAATTAAGGTCGAGGTTAACCCTATTGAAGTCAATAGGGACCCGTACTTTTGGGCATTAAAATGGCTGTAAAAAACTCCTAGAAAGGGACAGAGGGCTGCAAAAGGAAGTAAAATGGGCAAGTGCCCTGCAAACAAATGTGGATAGGGAAATCACTTAAAATAACATAAAATAAGCAGCCGCTTAGTAGATAACTCCCTAATTCCCACGGTATTAGGGAGCTGTCTACTAAAAGGCTTAAAGACCTAAATTGGTCTTTCGGCCACATTTATTAATACTAAGTAAAGATTACTTAGTATTAGTAAATTCAACCCCTACTCACTATACCGCGAGTAGGGGCGTGGCTGCTCACTGTAAACCCCTCCCCCAAAAAAACCTATTGGCCCCCACCCCTGAACAGTGGGTGGGGGCCCTAAAGTAAAATAAGGGGGGGGGGCCTATCTGCCTTCACTTTATCACAAACTCTATTGTCCTCCCCCCAACCCCACCCCTGAGCGGATGGTGGGGCCCTACATAACAATGAGGGGGGGGGCAACTGTACCCACAAATGTGCGTACTCCCCCCAGCCCCCACCCATGGGTGGGGGCCCTACATAACAATGAGGGGGGACCTACAATAGGTCCCCCCTTAGTGGCAGGTGGGGGACGGGGCCCAAAAATAGCAATGTTCAATACGAACCCGAACTTTCCAGTTTGGGTTCGCTCAACTCTAATTATGAGCATATTGAAGTAGTTTTCTTTTGAAAAGGAAAGAGCCCGACTGTACAAGCACAGCATAAATTTATAGTGGAGGAACTCAGATGCAGAGTGAGTCTTTTTCCAGCAGTGTTCAGCAGTTCTGGAACATGTTTGGAGATATCGGAGCAGCTTGGTGTGGTAGGGTTGTAATTTTGGATGCTCAGTGCATTTAAGTGTAGGAGGGGCCATGATGTCTAGTTGAGAGGAGAGAGTGGATTTGTAGAGGGAGGTGGCAGTGTTAGGGCAGGTGAGATTTGAGATGGGTGAAAGGAGACTTTGGAGGGTTGGTGGAGAATTGCTGTAGGTCAAGACAATGGAGGTTTCTTCAAGACTGATGTGGTGAGGGTGGTGTACTTTGGGTGCAGGGTATGCGGATGTCAATGGACAACAGATGGTGGTCAGATAAAGGAAATGGAACACTGGAGAGATTAGAGGTGGTACAGAGATTGGTGAAGATGAGGTCAAGAGTTTTTCCTGCTCTGTGAGTTGATGAATTGGACCACTGTGTGAATCCAATATGTTTGTGCTATGGATGGATATTGACAAATGTAATACAAACTGATTTGGGTACACCATTATATCTACTTGTCCCTCTAGTAGTTACCTTCCCTACTGTTACTATTTTTGTGGACAGAATCATTGGTTAGTCACACTGAGTTTAGGTGCAATATTGTACATTATTTTGCTATATTAATACTCTTTTGAGGTGTTTCACACTTAGAAGAATTAGGTTTACTACCAGTTAGGACTAATTTTGCTTGATTAACCGTGTGGACCTGTTTTTTTCTAAAATCACAAATTATGTAATATTTGTTTTCTGTTGTATTTTCCTTTTACATGTTTTAATATTCATGCAGATTGATTCTGGGGTTATGCAAAGTTATAACCCTACAGCTATCATTGTTGTTTCCACCTCTTTGAGGTTTATAAATTTACAAATTATATTCTAAATAAAGCATTGAACATACAGTCTCAGTAGTTACATTGGAAAAGTAGGCTTGCAGGTTGTAACACAGATACCTTTTGTGAGAATGACAGGAGCAGCAATCATTAATGTTGTTGTACATGAGCTGTCAAGAGCAAAGACAATCTTAATAAAAAATTAAACAGGCTTTCACTCTGTTATTTATAAAGAATGAAGAGGTTACACTTTGATTCTCATGTCATCCCCTGTACATGAAGCTTGATTATGTCTTAAAACCTCGACTCTATATATCAAACATCATTTACTTTTAGTAACTTATTTATTTTATTTTTTTAGGTTTGGGAAGTTTTGAATTTTCTTTTTTCTTTTTTTTTTATCAACCAAAATTTTTATTATGGCACACATGTTAAACAGACAGAGTTGCATACTAGTGACAGCAACATATAGAGGCATGAAAT